CGAATTCTTCACCTTCCAGTGGCGCCGGTGTAATCGCTCAGTATGCTCTGCATATCTGGGATAGCCAAGAAGAATCGCATCCGAATCGAAGTCGAAAGCAACCGCATACACATCTCCATTTGACAACTTCTCGACAGTGCCTCTCTCATCTTTATCATCCGAGTCCTCAACCTATCTCTAACCACGCATCATCTAGCCTCGCTGACAGATAAAGGCGTCACCTCAATTGCAAACAGGAGCTTGCCTTATTCATCGCCGGCCATCTCTCACAACAAATTTACGACGCTACGTATACCCGCAAAGAGGAAATCAAGTCGAAAAATACAAAGCCTGGGCCATGGCTTATGGAGGATTGTTGCTCTAATGGGGTTGTACATCTTGAGGAAGGACAGGCGGCTGAGATGTGGAGTGAGAGAGGAGACAGGTCTCTGAAGACCATTCTGGGACTAATATTTTCGAGGATTTTCAACTTTGGATTATTTGTGGGCGCCAAGACTAGATATCAGCTAATTAGCCAGGAGGGCTTCTTTTGTCGATGAGTCAACGGCACACCCCAGCGCCCTGGACGGCACAAAATAGCTATGCTAAGCTACTATACAGCAATCACGCTCTGTCAAGACTTTTCTGACATTTCAGCACGACCTTTGTTATGGCATGCGCTAAGGATACTGGGGATCGCCGTCTGCCGAAGGTAAGGTATTAAAAACTGTTAGGATTACAGTTTCTAACGAAGGATACTTAGATATGATTCGATTGGCGAGGTGCCAGGTAGTCTAAGGTTGTGGAACCACAGAATAGTCGAAAGACACGAAGTCAAAAAGTCGAGTTGCCGAGCAGGCGATCAAGAATGATAACTCAGAGTGAACAGAAGTACGAAGAATGTAACAAATAACGAAAGACTGAGAATATCGGGCTGTGAGAATATAAGATTATAACATTATGTAAATCTAGATTGCAAGATCAAAGATCAAAAGAATGAAAGATTGAGAAGCTGGAAAGCTACTATGTGGCAGCTCCAGCTTCCTTAAGTCTAACTCGAGATAGTACTTGAACTCAACTAAGACTATGACAAATGCCGTCATGACGCCAGCCCCTCCATCTCTAACTGTCGGAGTTTTCTCGGAAACCTTCTCAGTAAACCTTTTCCCAAAACCTTTCTTAAAACCTTCTCATATCACCTTTTCCTCAGAACCTTCTCCTTGAAACCTCTTCAAGGATGCCTGGCCATAACAACCTTCGGGATGGAGCTGGAAGGAGGCTAGAAAGGCAGAGTGTGAATTTCCCGAGGTACACACAAGTCTGAAGCGCCCAGCTGGCCGGCCTCTTCGAACGCTTCAGAAGGGGCACTTTGTCTTCGGATTTTGTCCTAATGTCGGTATTAGGAGAGCTCCGCACCCAGTGGTCTTTATGATTTTTCCCGGCTGCCATACACCCGCAGATGGCCATCGTTTCGTTGGCTGGAGAGGGGAGATAATGAAGGGCAAAGGGCTCCTCTTAGTGTATGATCGAATGAGGACTTGTGAGGGGTTGTACTGTTTGAGGGGAGCTGTATGGGAGGCATAGGAGGGGAGATACTACTGGCATAGGTATCCTTGGCCTGTAGGCAGAGAGGACCTGCATGTCCTACATAGTCATAGACTCAGACAGGACAATAAAATGAAATAGTAAATAATTACTTGACCAACTAGACAGGCCACGGGGACTATGCCGACTACCATCGACGTTTCAACCTAGAACATGAAGATCTGAAATGCGTTTGCGGCCGAGAGAAAAGGCCCTGGCATTTTTCAGAGTGCCGACCTGCTTTGCTACGTTGGAGAATCTATGAGAAAATGGCCCCACCTGGGGCCAGAGAAATGATAGGGGAGAAGGGATGGCAGAAGTTCATTCGATTCTTAACTACAAGCCGATGTTACAGTCTGCCGAAGAATGAACAGGGTGGGAGGTAACCACGCTGAGATTGTTTCTGACCCGAGAGTAGATGGGTGTGGAAGATAGGGATGCGGCGCAGGGCACCGTAACTCAGACACATACTGTTCTTTTTTTTTCAATCTTTTCTTTTGTCGCTTCTGGCCCCACTGCCGGTCATGTAGGTAGCAATGAGCTTTCAGAGCCCATCTACCCGTGTCACGTCTAAATAGATGTTAGGTTCTTCCTGTCACGTAAAAGATTTCAAATTCAAATTCAAATACTTGACCAACTAGCTGACTAAACAGCATTTCCTGATACTTGCCAACAGTCTAAAATTAGTCTACTATCTTCCGTTCAAATGCTCATTGCATTGATATATGACCCTTTTTTTGCAAAAGATTTCAATTGCGTATGCAGCTTTCTAGCTATGACACAATATCAAAGAGAATCACAGAATAGATAATTCATCGTAAAGGAAGAGCACTCATGCCTCAGATTTCAATTGCAAGTACCATTGCAAAGTTATGGCGACTTTTTGTTCACCCCAAGTCAACCCTCATCCGTGAATAACCACACAGGGAAACATCTCAAAAACCCTGAGTTATCCTGACATGCCTCCATCATCTTTCAACTTTTCTCCGCGCGATATGTGATCTGAGGTGTCTCCTTCCCAAGTGGAGTGGGTGCCCAGGCTACTCAAACAATACCAGTGGACACCACCAGGAGGCGGACCTTAACACCTTCCATCGTTGGCTTTTTTTTGTCAGCTGCCCTCTCGCAAGCGAAGTCTTGGCGCGCATAAAGCTCAATTTGTAAAACTCTTGCAAATTTTCAAAATCATACGCCCGTCGAGTCTATATCCATTGTTTGCATCATCTTGTAAACTTGTGCTAATCCCTCTCACGTCCATACCAAGGGACCATCTCCTAGTTTTGTTGTACATGATCCGTAACAGTGGTCACTAATGGTTATACTAGGACTGCCTTGTTTCGAAGGATTTCAGACCTCGGCGTCTTTCTTGACGCCAAGGCTGAGCTTCAGCTGGACGATGCAGGGGTGCATCGTCCGGATCGACCTTTCAAGTGGAGTTCGGGTAAATTGGATGCGTATCTAGTTTGAATTGGGGACGTAGAGTGTTTTGTAGGTACAGGCACCACATTTTGTCTAGGTTCCCGACACGATCTTGTGTATTTAAGAGGTTGGAATTGGTAATGTAGTAGCGCTTCAGGCTACTTACTGGATATATGAGCGGCTGTATGGCGTGGGCACAAGGACGTTATTGGGGGTTTTCTATGCGTAGATGGCGTCACACTCGTTTATGCTATGGCTTAGGCTACGCCTCGCTTACACTTGTACTTATAGCGCATACTTCCCACCCATTTATTTCTTTTACGAACATGACACTCTTCTAATTGCCTGCACCGTTCCAATAGGGTTACGCCCATTTTATTGCGCGATATTTCCAACATAAACCACATGTAATACGAGATCGCTTATACGATTCAAGCAAAATCCGATATCCTCTCGTCATTCTCGTGTACAGAACGATTAAAGCAAGCTTGAACAAGCAAGGGTTTTGGATCTTCCATAAAGCAGGTATTTACGAAGGTCACCTGTTGAATGTAAAAAAACATACTTTTGGTGGTGTTGGGGAACCAAATTACTAGGATGATGGTCTAACGTCGAGAATTTATTTAGTATTCATACGAAATATGTCCAAATGTGATATTTACGTTGGTGAAAATGATTTATCTTGTAAGGGTGAAAATTATGTCCCCATTTCTTTTACTATACTCATCTTATTCACGATTTTTCCCCTCTCCTATGCTTCTGACTCTCTAAAGAATGGCAATCCGTACTTGGATGACTTTAACCCTTCGTTTGTTGAGAAGCAGTGCCTTCTCGGTACTATCTAGATTATCGAAACTCTTCTGTCCTTTCATCTGACGTAATATTGATACAAGTACCACTATTTCTAGGAATCATGGAGTAAATGATATACTTCATGATTGAGTAATCTTTAGTAGAAGAGCTATCCGGCTCACAAAAGAGATTCTGTTTGTTATCCTCACTTAATTTGCGTGAAGAAATGACAGAAGCTGTTAGGTTTCGTGACTCAATGGATACGAAGTGTTTCAAGGAGATCTATCGAGATAGATTACTCAAATCTGGGCCATAGTCAGGTCTACAGTAGCGGAGTGGTACATGATTAGCGAGAAAATGACATCAAAAGACTTCAAATTTCGTCTTAAACTTTATTCTCGACATTATCGTTCTCTTACCCTTTAGAATTGATAAACTTGCGAGCATTGTGTATTTTTCGTGAATCTAGATCAGTCCATGGCATTTTAAATACGAATTCCTTCTGACCTGGGCTATCCAATTGAGGTAGCTCTTACACACTATTTTTTACATTGATAATCGACAGTAGATTCGAAAATAAAAGCCTGAAGATTGATATCTCAGATATAAGCCTTTCACCTCGTCATCATACTGAGTATAAAACCGCTAGAGTGAAGGAGGCCAGTGGTAATTCTATGAAGGAGGTATAGCGACAAGGAGTCTTGTATGCCGCGCTATCTTGAAGTGTTTCTTTCTGACTATATCGGTTGGCTCAAACTCTTTAAATTGAATGGATTGTTATGTCCATCATTATTTATAGTGATGCTGGATGGTGAGGCAACACAGTTTGATAATTAGAGGCTGCTATAATAAGCGACAGACGTTAAGAGAGTTATAATATCGTCACGCTTGAGAGTATTACTCTACAGAGACTAGGTTAAGTAGAAAAGAAAACATGCTAGTCTGAGCCGAGGTTGTATTGGCGGCATTATTTTGATAGGCCCATTTGTGACACAAGCCAAGTCTTTAACTAGCACGTGAGGGAGAGTTTCTTGACTCATTCCACATGCTTGTACATTGAGTGATACCGTTTGTCGATAGTTGAATAAAACATTTAGCACTTCTGAATATATCTTTGGTGCGCTATCGCAGGGTAATATCTTTTTCCAAGAGCACTTGTTTATTTTCAAAGATAAATCATTGTCAATTAACTTCCTGCAAAGGTCATGACTCATGTCAACCCCTAATTAGTCATCACCTCTCGGTGATTGTTTTTTTAATTGGATTCTTCTTACGCCAACAGTTAAGCTCTCCATATCAATTGATCTTAATTGGGGATTCCAATATGCTATTACATCAAGTACTAGATATGCCTTTGCTGTATCAACTTCTACCAGGCCAGAGACTGTTATGCACCCTCTTGGTGGATGACAAATTGGTCGTTTCCAAAATCTCGAAAACGTTCTTTTGAAGGCTACAAGTGGTCCAGAAAACTGCTGTCGGAGTTCTACAAGAGCTTCATCTATTTTGACATCAGATTCATTATCTTTGCTTCCAGCATTTAAAGACGTGAAACCTATAGTCTTTGCTTCGGATACGTCGTCTTCGAGGGGAAACAGTTGAGCCCCTGCTGGTGGTCCCTCGGTGGGTGGAACTTTTGTTCCTTTGATAAATTGTCGATGTCTAGCTAGTATTTGTTCGAGGGAAGGAGGAGGTTTGGGTTTGAACCCAAATATGCCACTGATTTGATCAACAAAATCAGCAACTACAACTTTGAAAAAACTTATGCTAGACAGTGTCATGATTGAAGGCCACAAAGCTCGTTGTAGCTTGCGGACGGTCATGGAATCGACTGGATGAGTAGTCCATGCTATGTAATCGGACCCGATTTCAATGCTGTGTAAGAGTTAGTAGCTCTCTAGCTATTTTCCCTTCTAGCATACGTACCCTGATTGGGTGTACTCTGGTGGCGGGTCTAACGGGAAATCAACGTCTAGCCAGTATCTTCTCAACTTCATTTCCTGCCCAAGATGTAGCGAAAGGATGGGATGTTTGTCTACAGCCTTGAGAATCAGGTTTGCGAGGTTATCTGTGAGTTATCAGCATTTTATATGAATAATTAAGTCATTGATGAGGAAACGAACGGCAAACTTGCTGTGCAAGATCAGGTTGTTGGCTAAAGTTGATAAATTCTTGCCATTCTGGATCACTGCCACGATATGGGGCTTGTTTTACTTCCTGCACTGTCATGGGAAAAGGTAAAAATAACGGTGGTAATTCCTCCTCGGGCAGCTCAGGTAGTTCGGTGTCCTCCAGAGCACGATCTAACGGCTGAAGCACAAAGTGGTTGTATGCTAGGCTGCATGCATATACGGTGCCCATAAAAATAAATACATCACTGAATATTTATCAGCAGGTGGCCAGATAGTTTTCAGACATGACTACCGACAACAATCCTTTCCGCCTTTTTTTGAACATTACTCTATGCAAGTTGGGTGACTCTTGATTCTGGTTCTGAGCGCCGATGCGCATTAATTCTCTCTTTGATGCGAATATGCTACGCCATTGTTGAGGCGTAGCAATGGACTGGCCCAGTCTTCGCAAGCATGTTGACTTCGGCAATTTTATGCTTCTAAGCATTGGTGACTTCATGACATGATACATATCTAGCGGTTAATCCTGCCCATGAGATTTTAGAAAATAAAAGTATACCGGTTAGACTGTGTGAAGTTGTTAGCAATATGTAGATTAGCAGCTAAAATGTTGTACACTGGGAGCTTCGGTAAGCACAGCGATTGCCCAGTGTTTTCCAAAATTGGACTAGTAGGGATATTAAGGTCTTTCTGCTTCGTCTTGTAAACCCCGGCAGGCCATTCTTTTCTCAGTAGCCAACCTTGAACAACAAAATGAGGCCCTCCTTGTGCATTTTTCTTTCGACATATTTAGGCCTCAACGTTGCCTCACCAGACGCCAGTGTCTTCATCTTTCAAAGAGATAATCCTCTGGCTCTGCATGATACTCCTGAACTATCGCTCGATCAGAGTAGACTTATTCTTGCACAACGCTTAGACATCTCTCAGTATTATAAACTACAAGATTACAATGAGCTCTCCCTTTCTCATATCAATCGTTTTGGAAGTAAACAACAACCAATATTTGATAGAAATTTGCACAATATACCAGAGCTTGTTCTAGTGGTTGAAGGTGTATCATCAAAGATTTCTCAATTCATATCGGACGCGATCTCTCCAATAAGTCCGAATTTCACTATTGTAGCTGGAACAGCTTTATCTGAAAAAAGATCACTCATTTCTGAATTACAGGCTCAAGCTGGTAAATTGGGAACTAGTTGCAGCCTCGAAAATGTAATTAATCCATCCGACAAGTCTTGTTGGTTTAGGGACCAAATCATGATGCGTTTCAACTTAAACAATGAAAAGGTAGGAATGTTATGGCCGTATAATTTTCGTTGCACTGATATCAAGGGCAGGATGGTATGTCAAGGCTAATAAACGCCCAAAATCGGATAAAGCAACTTTCCAAAAAAGGCGAGATGAATGTTGCAATTGTTTTGTTTCCCGAAGTTTCTGGCGCGCAGAGGTCTTCTGAAAACGCCGATGATGAAGATGAAAATCCTGCTCGAAAAAGGCAGCATAAAGAGGAACCCTTGATATACTCTCCGCCAGTGGTCTCCTCTATAAAGCAGTTACAGTCTTCTCGCTCAAAAGATAAACCTATGAAAGGTATCCCCCAACTCTGTCACAAATCTCTCGACCTGTGTGTAAGCTCCACCAACAACTGCACTGGTCACGGCGAATGCTTCAAAAAATACGGAGATCGCGACAAAGGGGATTGCTACACATGCGGATGTCGAGCCACCAACGATACCGTGACATGGGCTCAGGGAACAAAAAAGGGTTGGAAGATCACATACTGGGGTGGTTCTGCCTGCCACAAAAAGGATATCAGCGGTGCTTTCTGGCTAATCTCGGTGTTCAGTGTTACAGCCATAGCAGTGGTTGGTTGGGGTATCGGTATGCTATTTAGTATCGGGGCAGAGAGCCTTCCAGGTGTTATTGGTGCAGGTGTTTCAAGTAAGCCAAGATCAAACTGAAGTCTGTAGAAAGTGGGTATAATATTTAATTGAGTGCGCTAGAAAAACTTAGATTTACTTCAATCGCTAATTATTATCACAAATTACAACACCAAATACTATATACAGAGAATAACTAAATTTATGGGAAAACTCAACTTATACAAACAGATTATTAGGACAGATGGAGCTTCAATTCATCCAAGCAAAATCTATGTCTGGATCACTCTGATTGGTCCGAAGTGTAGCCCTTCACGCACGGGCATTGATCGCACTAGGGCCTTGGCACCTACATAGGATAACTCTCTGTAGATAGCTTAGATTGAGAATCAAGAACAAAGTGACAAACCATTATCTATTTGCTAGCAGATCCAGCCTGTGCCAACAATCTAATTTACAATTTCGATTAGCAGAAAACATTTCACTAGAAGGCATCTGAGAGTTTGTGCTAAACATGCAGCCCACTTATCGGTATTAGAGAAACTAAATCTCTTCAGCTTCGGCCTCTAGGTTTAAATTGCGTTTTCTTTCATCACATTCAAATGACAATACTCTATTTACATTTTCACGAAGCTGATAAAACCGTACTTGACTTTGATGACCCAACTTGGATGATACTCTCACGAAATACGAGAATGGAATATTCCATAGCAGACATGTCTCCCGTTTTTGTTTTGTTTTTTTCATTAACGTGCTAGGTTACATGGCTACCGTTGCACTCCTATTGGAGCTTAAGCACGTGTGGGATTGGGCCGGATCAGGTTAACTACCGTGAAGTACAGATAAACCCCGTCCCACTTTAATGACCTGACCACCTCAGACTTCACCCATGTGTTGAATCATACCAAGCCTAACCGTCCAGAAACCCGCTGTATACACGCCGTAGCGCAATTTCTTCCTCAGCCTCGGCCACCACGCGCCCGAGCCCTTGATATCCTCATTGACTCCGAAATATAAATGCCGTCCAAGATCTCATCGTTGCACTAGCCTTGCACCTTCATATCGTACCGTTGGGTTGTTTTCGTCATTGGGGATTTGTGTAATCCCCTCGGTGTATCTTCCCTCTTCTTCCTCCTTTGTACACGTCCCGTTTCCATCATGACTTTCCTCATTAGGGCGTGTGTAGGTAGGTGATCGGACGGGTATGGAGGTAGGTCGCAGGTGTAGGATCGATTGAGAAATGCTTCGTCGCAAGTATAAAAGGAGTTTAAGAGATGTTGGATGTATGAATACGACCCCCAGATAGACCTAGGCACATCCGTGAATCGTATGTTGGTGGTGATGAGTTTTTGTTCAACTTTGTCCGGCTGTGAAATCTCTGCCGACTGATTTTCCGACCAAAATATCGAGTGCAACTCCTTCAAGTCGAAAATCCATCAATTATAATTCATCCCACCCTTTTTCGTGACTGAATCTCGGCTCTGTGGGAATATTTCACTCCCAGGTTCGTAGAGGACACCACTGACAGGTGTTCAGCCTTCGTCCTCCGACATGTCTCCCGTTAATGACAGTGGAGTAAATCTTATACCCTAGATCCTTCTAACTAAAACCAAACTTAGCGCATAATTATTACCTTAGTCTTCCATTTGCCATCCAAACGATTTATGTTGTTTTCGCACACTATGCTTTACTCCTTACTAAAATTCCTGGCTTTAGTTCGTGTGTTTTTTGTCCTAATCAGTCTACGATTATGTAAGGACTAGGTCCTCTCTGCTACTTCCTCTTGAGATTATTCATCTATCAAACTATGAGATACGATCGGTGCTGCGTATACATGCTAGATGACTCTTTTGACGCTAGAAACACCCACACTCCAGATTTCATTCGCAACACCACGAGGTACATTTGCTTGCACAAACAATCGATCCTCCTCCGTGAGTACTCAATAAAGTGACGCTTTAGAACCTTTTATTATCCAAGCATGCTTTCGTCGTCCGTGTATACTAGCGCTGCGAGAAATGTGGTTTTGTTTTTCTGGATTTGAACCAGCGATCTGCTGTCTCGATTGGGATATGTGTCTAAGCTATCTAGACTTAACTCTGCAGACCGGCCAAGACGATGGACCACGGCACCTTCCATCGATGGCTTGTATTTGTGGTGTCAGCTGCACTCTCTCAATCGAGAGCCTGGCGCGCGCAATGCTCTTCAATATATAAATCTCCTTGCCAAAACTCGAAATCTTACACCTCTCGAGATAACATCCATCTTCTGCATCATCTTGTTATCTTGTCTCGATTTCTCTCATGTCCATCTCAAACAACTGCCTCCAAGATTTGTCCGCAACGCTTAGTTTCCTCCAACAGATATTGGTATTGTCGTGGGCATGTATTTTTTGACCAGCTGGGTCCAGAGGATAGTCAATGAGATGTGTAGTTTTTGATTTGAGGATGTACTAAGTCATACTTGCATACTTGCAGAGTTGATGAGGTTTATGTAGGAATCGATCTTGTTGGGAATGAAAGTTTGATAAAGTGGAGTATCCTGAATCATTGCCTTGTGTAAACGTTATTGGCTCAATCTTGTATTACAACTAAATCACTAAAGTTTTCTGTCTAGGTTCAACCAGAAAGACCGCCCTTCTTATGTGTATGTACGCACGGGTCACCTTGGATGCCTACATAACTAGAGCTGACTACACTTAAATATGCATCCGCTTAGCCGGCAAAGACCATTTCTCACCTTCCAGTGTTGCCAGTGTTATCGCTCAGTATGCTGTATATCTAGGATAGCCAAGAAGATTCGCATCCGGATTGAAGGCGAATGCAAACACAGATTCATCTATAATCTGTGACTTCTCACCAATGTCGGTCTTGTCATTCTCACGAGAGTCCTCCATCTCAATATTACCACACCACCTCGCCTCAAATACCGAAAATGGCGTTACTCCAATTGCAATCGGGAATTTGCCCCATCAAAAACTGGCCATCTCCCACTACACATTTATAATGCTATGTATACCCGCGTGGAGTAAATCAAGTCATAATCTACAAAGCTTGGGTCTTGGTCTATGGGGGACCGTTGCTCTAATAGGGCTTCGCATCTTGAGGGAAAATAGGCAGCTGGAACGTGGGACGAACGAGTGAAGAGGTCACAAATGGGCAAGCTGTGATGCACATTTTTCGGGTGTTTTCGACTTAAGGGTGTCTGTGAGCGCCGAGGCAACGATTTCGGATAGTGCTGTAAAAGGACTGATCACGATAGCTTTCCGCATAGGTGAATCCAAAAATAAAGGTTTATATTCTGTATAACGAAAGAACTGTACGAGCTACACAATTGAGTATCTACTAAGTCTTACGTAAGTCACTTCAAGCCTGACTATCTAATGGTCACGTGAGCAATCGTACATGTGGAATCGGATAAGTCCGATTCTAATCCTACAATGCCCTAAGCCTGTAACAAGTACAACCGGCTGTGACGGGCTAAGACTTTCGGCCAATGCACGAAAGCAATGCCACAATTAAATGTTTAAATTTTCTATGAGGAAATTACGAGCGGGAAGCTACGGCTCTTTGTAACTACAATGCCTATTCTAGATACTCTTGCCCTTTACACGTGATCTGTTAATACTCCCGTACAGTGAGAAGATTTACAAACTCGCTTGAGCCTTCAAGATAAGGATGGGCCCTATAGCCTTAAACAGCCTAGCCAGAACCCTGCCGGGCCTAGCCCGTAACACTGGCACTCTTTTTTTTTTTTTTCATTTAATGTGTATTCAGCTACAAAGCTATGACACATGACCGGTGCTATGTATACACGTTGGATGACTCTTTTGACGTTTGAGACACTCATACTCTGGATTTCATTTGCAAATACCTCTATGAGGTATGCTTGCTTACACAAACAGTCGACCCTCCTCCGTTAGTACCCACCAAAGGGAATTTCGAAACCTTTGGTTATCCAAGCATGCCTTCGTCATCCATGCATACCCCACACTGACACTCTGAAAACAGGCAACAATGGAAGGTGTCTTGGTCCGCCTTCTAGTCGTCATCTCCCAGAATGAAAGTCTGGGTAGCCTGAACACCTACCTCACTCGAGAAAGAGAGGACTGTGAGGCCATATCTTGAGCGGCAGCTATATACAAGATGATAAAGGCATGTTAGGGTAGCCAAAGGTTTTTCCTGTTTTCCCGTTGTTGGATATTAACAGTTGAGAGAAGGGTGAAAGTCCCTAGCACAAAGTCCTCGATTGTTATCAGCGAATACACTCAATAGGGAGACTATTCTCAACACCTGTCAGTTGTGTCCCCTACGAACCTCCAGCTCTCACTGTAGAGTCTGCAGAGCCGAGATTGAGTAACAAAGTACTCACTTCGATGAGGATTCCCAATCGCTTTCGCGGTCTGTATCGTCTTCATCTCTCAATACATTCCCCTATCATCATTATCATGAAGCTAACCACGATCAGATCAGATGGTAGGTTCGGAGCCCTACTCATCACCAACTATTGGTCATGGAGGAGATGCCATCCGATTAGTTTCGGAGCGTACCCAGCACCCGATGCAGAGATGGCGGATTGGATCAAGTCGAACTCGGCTGTTACAAAGAAGGAAGATATAGATAAATATGCGCACCTCATGTGGTCCCGGTGTCTAGGCCTCGCCTGGCTGGGGCTGCAGGTTTTTTTAAACTTTTTCCCGCGCACGCAGTTTCCATTGCTACAATTTTTAAATTTTTTGGGTAGAAGGTTCGGCGGAAAAGGTGGCCGAATTCCACGGGTAAACACTGAGCTGAATGGCTATTCATCAAGGGGAATATATCAATGATCTTTCAAGTAACAAAAGAGGATAGGAGCACTGTACAGAGTGTGGCCTGGGTCAGAGAGGAGCCCAAGGTGCTAGATAGTCATAGACTGAAGTAGCACAATAAAAAAATACACACAATACACTCAATATATGAGTATTCCAAATGTCAAACTGAGTTATCATAGTATATAGTCGTCGGGGAAGCTAGTCTTCTCCGTGTCATGCTTTTTGAGTGCAGGGCTTATGCCCGTCACGAATAAACTTTCATCTTTACCTATGCATCCGCTCACACCTTGTGGCTAAATTATTTGGTTCTGCGAAATATGACTAAGCTCGGCTTTGGGTGTATATTTTAATCCCAGGTTTACGGAGGAAATCACGGACTGACTTTCAGTCAGAACCTTGAACTCGTGGGATTAATGTGGCGGTGAAATTGTAGCATCTTTGGACACCCAAGATCATCGGTGAAGCCCTAGACTTACGTTTCCAAGAGTTTAAAAATGCTGGTATTACTTATCATCTGATGTGGGCTATGCTTCCAATCCTTAGGGATGGTGGACGTATGAAAAATATATGGATACATGATTCCCCAAGCTACAGCAGCGGCCGTCTTTTCTCTGCACTTGCCTTCTATCCAGCTAGTTACATAAGTTTATACGGATGGGAGCGTATTCACTATGACACTAAGTTCATAGGCTGGAGGAAAAACTAATAGAAAAAATTTCATCAGAAAAACCTCGGCCATTCTTTCCGCACTCATTTTCGAGTAGCAGCCGCAGTCATATATAAAATAAGCCATGTAGGAATTTGACCTCCTGCCTCTAGAAGGCCCAACCAGCACTTGACCACTTATGCTAACAACTTACCATGAGAGAGTTTGCCACAACCAAAATATTTTTGATTGGTCAAGCCCTTCGCTCCACCACTTTGGGAATGTTGTGAGAGGTCTTCGTGAAAGAAGTGCTGAGGATGGGGGTGATAGGACGAAACCGACTGGTACTCGCGTGAAAGAATGGGGATCCTGAATGGAGAGACTGCGACTCTTCTTGGCTATCCATTATATGCGATCATAGTAGATCCTTACAACGGCATTGCTAGAAGGTGAAGAACCTGACTTCGTCAACTCTGTTGGTGTACTTCGGCTTTGATAAGTAAATATTGGTATATTCTATCACGTGAGATGGGCTGGAGATCGAGGAAATGCCCAGGTGGCAGATATGCACGGTAAGCACACTAAATGGTGTCCATAGCACGGGTCCGTCGTAGATCTTAGCCCATGCTTGTCTGGGCGCTAACGCATAATAGATTGCTCCTTGTAAGTGCGGTAGTAGCCAAATTAAGCAAACGAGCTGGTCTAACGCTGGTGGCAATGCCGCCAACAGTTTCAAAATTATTTGGTGTAGGATTCTCGACCTAGCGATGTTTAGAGAAAAAAGCGTAGAATTGACAGGGCTTACCATTCTATCAACATTCAATCCCGCGTATTTCTGCCTAGATTAATCTCATGACGCTATGTTATGCTTCAGATAGCTATGTGGCGATGATTGATCAAATCATTGCTTGTACTAATATCAAAAGACCAAGTCTCCTCAATCTAATCCCAGGTCTGATGTCCGTGGAGTTGAGTAGCTGTGACTAAATTTTCGGTCATTGGCAGTGAGCGTACTTGGAGCGATTAAAGAAATCCGGTAGGGCAGTAGCACGTGTACCTGTACTTGCCAATTACAAACCTACTGCAATTCGACCAAAAGCATCAAAATGTCTGCATCACCAGCGCGTGAAAGTTTCATTCCGCCTGGATCGACAAATGGGAGTGCAGAGGAGAGACCTCGGCTGTCTGAGAACGAGAAAAAGGCCAATCATATCGCTTCAGGTCCGTTTGATACACCGTCGCCCCACTCCTTGCGTGCATGAGAGGACTATTCTGATTACTATAGCAGAGCAAAAGCGCAGACAAGCAATTCGAGAAGGTTTCGACCGACTCACTGAGCTGGTTCCTGGATTAGAAGGCCAAGGTCGAAGTGAGAGCGTAGTATTAAAAAAAACCGTTGACTACATACGCTCTCAGCTGGCAGAAAGAAAATGTTTGGTCAAGAGGATTGAAGAGCTCGGGGGACATGCGGAAGAGGAGCTAGAAGACTGAAACCTATCAGAAATTAGAGTGAAGGATCGAATTTGATTCTAATATTCTTGTCGAGCGACAGTGAGCAACAAATGAGGGCAGCTAGAAGCTGGCGTAACGACCTCTAACTACGATCACTAGCAGCCATCAAGGTTTCTTCGATATCCAGCAAGACCAGTGACAGGATCAACTACAAACTCATCTACTAGTATATATTGATAACCGCCGTGCTACTTTACAAAATTAACCTCTATGAATATGTTTTCAAAAGCTCCAACATGATTGACCTTAACAAGGTTGAAGTTACAGATAATCTATCTCGCAGTCTAGGGGAAACAGAAGGCTGACTGTAATCATTAAGCGATGAAGTTGATTTTGATTTATACTCAAGTACTTCCCATTTCATGTCTTGGCCGGGGACGTACTGATTTGCCTTGGTGGAAATCATTTGTAGTATCTTGTCTGTATATCGATTCCTAATGGGAATACCTGAAAGATCTACAGAAATCGTTCCTGACTGAACTTCTTTGGGACCTATCAGCACAATAATACCGTATCTCTGCCTCTTAGCTGCAGCAATCTTGTGGTTGACTCCAATTGGCTTATCAAAAACTTCAATAGAGATAGATGCCAAGTCCCTAGGAATGCCCCTTTCAGATTGCCTACTTGCTTGATCCGAGTCTATTTTTCCAAGTCCCTGCAGAGCTCTACTAACTTCACCAGCATATTCCAAGGTTTCTGCAGAATCATTTACCGTAATAATAGCTGCCTGATTTGGGTTAAGCCAAAAGGGCCAGTGCCCATTATAATGTTCGATAAGAAGTGCCATTATTCTTTCCACAGATCCAAGCACTGCCCGATGGATTAACACCGGAGTAACAGGTCCTTCTACGCTCAAGAGTGATGAGTCGGTACAGACAAGTCCCTTTTTCTCGACATCGGGAGCTGGCGCCTGATAGCGTAAGCCAAACCTTTTAGGCAATTGAAAGTCTAGTTGGATAGTTGCGGTTTGGTGTTCCTTCTTATCAGCCGAACTTTGAAGTACAATGTCAATTTTGGGCCCGTAAAAAGCGCCATCGCCTTCGTTAACTTTCCAGTCTAACCCACTTGCGTCCAGTGATTCCTTTAGAGCTAACTCTGCATTGTCCCATTCCTCCTCAGTGCCAATAAAGCCGCCAGACGGTCGAGTGGACAACACAAGTCGGTATGGTCCTAGTCCAAGAACTTCGTAAGTTAACTTGACAAAATCTAGTGTTCGACGAATTTCGCCCTTGATTTGAGAGGGTCGACAAAATATGTGCCCATCATCCTGGTGGAATCGTTTTACTCTTGTTAGTCCGCTTAATGCACCCGCGACTTCATTTCGATGTAGAGAACTAAAATCTGCATATCGCAAAGGCAGGTCCCGATAACTACGCCCCTTTGATGCAAATATTAAGCAGTGACAAGGACAATTCATGGGCTTGAGTCCGTATGGCTCATCTTGAACTTCTGATTCCCCGTCTTGGGCACTCAACGTACGTCGTCCGGTCACTGCATACATGTCCTCGGCATAGTTGTCCCAGTGACCTGAGGTTTCCCACAAGGATTTTTTGAAAATTGTAGGAGTCAACACTTCTTGGAAACCGAAAACTTCATATTGAGATCGAAGATATTCTATTAGCTTGTTAAATATTTTTGTACCATTTGGAAGAAATATGGGGGTTCCAGGACAAAATTTTGATGTGGTAAACAGCTCCTGCTGTATGCCTAACTCTCGATGGTCGGGATTTAGTGTAGATAAATTTTTCTGTGTTTCGTCACTCTTTGTTGTCAGTGCCTTCAGTTCAGACTCGCGTGCTGAGCTCAGATTTTGTCGGAGTGGAGTGAGTTTACCGATGTTTCGATATAGACCCTTTCTATATGGCACTCGTACACTAGTCGTACATATCGTACAGAATGAACGCATAAGGGGCTTTAATTAATTCCGATGATCGTTATCGCCACGACAATTGCGAGTGTGCCAAATATTATTTGATGTAATCAAAGACTCTGTAGTCGATGTTTACTTATTACGTAAGCCTCGCAAATCAGCACAGTTGTCGCGACGCATGCCCTACGAGTGTCTATATTAACAGCGCCCAGCAGCACAGCGCAAGTGTAGGACTGGTCGAAAAAGCCTTCATTTCCAGAAGGCATCGTCTCCTTCTAACACTCTGTGTTAAATTCTTGGGGCTAAGTCACATAGCCGACGCATTTGCCTTTTGGGGTTTTATAAAGCTCACCCACATCGTTTCTCTTCCTCTATCTATCAGAGACATTAAGCAGTAGATCTCAACTAGATCAATCCTTTAATGCCAATGGTATACATATCGGATACGGGAGGACAGCTGCAGACTCTATCTCCGACACCCAACGAAAAGCTTTCTTGTTATTCATGTGGATACATTAAAATGCGGGATAGTTCGACGGATGGGACGCAGCGGTCAACCAAATTTCAAGACAAAGAACCAATATTCCCGTGGACACAGCACTATGATAGCTTATTTACACCACCTCCATAGCTCTATTGACTAATCACACACCTCAGCTTGAGCCTCCACTCTAAACTTCAGTCTTAACTGGAACTCAAGGGCTCAAAATGGCACACTGGGCATGTCTATTAATTTAGCTCTAACTTTTGCGTCTAAAAATTCTCCATGTAGCCCCAGCAGAATCTGAGGGTTTCTTTCTTCTTGCGACAATGACAGACGATTAAATTCTGCAATGTGTGTTCCAAGATTAAGTATTGGCCTTGGAAATAACGTTACTAGTGATAATTTGGAGGTTCAGTGTCTCTCTAACCTCTTACTCAGTTTTGAAAGGAACTCTCTCATGACTACCTATTAAAATTAAGTCTCTAAGCTTATGAAATTTACTCAGGAAACTTTCAGCTTACATTTTCAGAACCGTACGAAAAATACAAGATGTGCGAACTATTTTATAAATATAGCTATATAAGTACAGAGGGCTCAAAGTGTACTCTGTTAACTTTCTCAAACCGAACCAGCTCCCTGTTCCTGATTAGACTTTCCAATATCAATAACCCTCGCTTTGCAAAGACTGGATGCGGCTAACTATGATAATTAGGCGCTTCAGATATGCTTGAAAAACATGCTTTTACCTGTTCTAATAAACCAAGTGAACCACTTGTTTAAGGTCTCCTTAGAGCGAAAACTTAATTCTATGCAAGATTGCAGCTCTCTCACCGGCTAATAATTACACGATGCTGAATTAGCACAGAGCAAGGAGCCCACAAAGAACCTCCCGGAATATTGTGAAATGGATATAATAATTTTCTTGCGGTCATCAATCCACAGCTAATGCCCTCCAATTATTATTATTTCAGAATGAAGATGTGGACCCATATAAGAATCCTGCCGACTTGCGCAGAATTCATGTACCGGATTACGCTAGAGCCTCCTGGTCTACATTAGAAATCCATATACTTGATCTAACTTAGTCTCAGACCTAGCCGGAACATGAAATGCCACTTTTGTCGCAATCTAGTAAGATTCCTAGTCCTTCAGAATCTGGCAACATTGAAGCGGACATTCCAGTCTGGGTGACGCCTTTTTCGTCAACGAATCTTCAACAGGATAATTCCTCGAAATTGCCACTCTAATTTGCTTTGTCAAATATCAATTTCAGATTTCAAGGGAAGACTCATGGAAAACAGACTACCCTCAACGCCGTCATGAGCCTGGCTAATTCGTGCATCTCTATAAGAGAAATATCTCTCAGTTACATCTGCTTTAATCCAAGATGTTAGCCATAGACTTGTCAGTCCACGATGTTTTAAACGCATAGGCTTGTCAACAAATAAACGCGGAAATGCGTTAAGCATGGCAGCAAAGTAACGATTAGTCTGAGCAGCTAAAACAGAACCCATATATTCCTGACCTCTCTTACAGCGCGAGCCAGAAATAGAATCTAGTAAAAGAGGCCTGTATCTAGGAAGAAAACTTGAACAAGTTCTCTGCTAGCACAATTTGTAGTTTGTGACTACATGTATCTCATTTTATTTTATTCCAAATCTGTCTGGGCTGTAAATGTGAGGAGAAATTGTATTTTGGCTGGCGAGCCACAGAACCTTTGGACAGTCGGACCTGATTATATCAACACTTGGGGTTGTTTGAGTAATCGAGTTATTTTCGAAGGAAGATATTCATGTAATCAACGGTACTAAATCTGATCCAGTTCAGACCCACTCCTTCTCGGGCTCCTGAGGAGTGCGAAGAAAGGCAGCTATCTAGCATGTAAATGTACATTCAGAAGAATATTCAATAGCATTTTCAAAAGTAAGATGGTCAATTTATGAATAACATTTAGATCGTAAATCCATTGGAACGTATACACGATTCGATCAAAACTACCCCTCAGAAGTATGAGCGGTAATGACTCATCGACTAAGGTATTCCATCTTTGGCTGCGATAGCTTAAGATTATCTGGACTGCACAAAAGCTTCTCACTCATTGAATTTGCGTGTTTTTGTCCTTAGTTTTTGACTGTCACTGACACGTAGGCCCTTTCTGGCCACAGGCCGAGGGTACTGGTGCAATAGGTCATAAATTCCTCATGTGCATCATTTAGAGCTCTCCTACAACATTACTGTTCCTTGTCAGTCTTCAGTCCCCATTGAATTACACGCTTACTGATACTTCTGGCACTCTACCGCCTCACTTCCCAATCAACGAAAGTGTATTTACAGGTGCCCAGCTGCCGGGGGTTTTGAAACTACTGTTTGCAGGCTTATCATTCTCTTGAACAGAAAAATCAGGACCCTTCTCACTAACAGGAGGATCATGATACTGGCCCCACGGGGTCAAATGTATTTTTTGTATTTCAGTCGAACTTATCTTACAGTAATCGCACTGGCCTTAACTACATCTAGTAAACGTGACACGAGAAGTCATAGTGCACCGAGACTCTTGGCCACCCGCATTACTGGTTTGTTCCAAGTTGGAGGTAGATAGATATAGAGTGCGAGAATTTGCAAGCTCATGTTCTATGCCATTCTCATTTTCCACATATCGCAATAACTTGGTCCAAAAAACTTGATGGTAAGGGGGACGAAAGTCAACAACCATCAGCGGTGTGCCATAGGAGCCTCCAACTCTCACTGTAGAGTCTGCAGAGCCAGGATTGGGTAACACCTTCGTCCTCCCTTCCGTGAGGATTTCCAATCGCTTTCGCGCTCTACATCGTCTTCATGTCTCAACACATTCCCCTATCACCATTATCATGAAGCTAATTACGATCAGATCAGATGGTAGGGTCGGAGCCCTACTCATCACCAGCCCTTGATCATGGAGGAAAGGTCATCAGATGAGTTTCCGGAGCGTACCCAGCACCCGATGCAGAGATGGCGGATTGGATCAAGTCGACCTCGACTGTTACAAAGAAGGGAGATATAGATGAATATGCGGACCTCATATGGTTCCGGTGTCTAGGCCTCGCTTAGCTGGAGCTGTGGGTATTTTGAGGTGAAAGGCTCTGTGCAAAGAATGGCTGAATTCTATGGATACGTACTGGGCTAAATAGCTATCCATCACAAGCAATATACAACAGATCTAAAGTAACAAAGGAGGATAGGAGCACTGTGCAGAGTATTAACTGTGTCAGAGAGGAACCTAATGTACTATATTGTCATATACTCAAGCGGCACAATACACCACAAACACAGAACTCGGTAGCAAAGGCTCAGTCCTCCTATCATAAATTGCCTCTGACGACGTCACCTTCCTGTACAAATGCAGCTACCCAACCAGGAAACATGATTGGCGTTAAATGTGGATTTTGAGTAGCTCTCTCAACTTGAGAACCCCTTGTTCTCTGACTCTTATTCGTAAATACAATTGAGCTTTAATTTTTACACAAATCAGTCGATCCTACTCCTCTAGTGCTTACCATAAGAAATTTCGATTGCCTTTGGTTCTCAAAGAATTCCCTAGTCATGGTCTGCATGAGCATGGCGAGAATACGAACGAGTCTTGCTGGCCGCGAACCAGCAATCTACTGTCTCACATGAGATAGGTGTCCGAGTTTTTCAGACTCTTTATGAGAGACCAGCCCACACGGTATGCCATTGCACCATGCAAATGTGAGAGTGCTTTCAATGATGCTCGCCCTCGTGCAAACGAAGTCATGGCGCGCACAATGCCTTCGGTGTGGAAGTTGCGTTTCAAAATTAATCCTTTAATCCAACCAAACTGGACCTATCATTAGCAACGTTGTGTTCATCTACCCTATAGTCCACACGCTCAGACAAAATATCCGGCTCACTAGACTTTTGCGTCGTGATTTATGTCCTCTTATAGAACATCAACTTATCATCGGAGTATATTTAGCAAGCAGCCAAGGCCAGAAATAATGTCGACAAGAGTTTTAAATAATGACTTAAATTATAACAGGTCGCACTTGGAGATTTTCAGCTTTGGACAGCATCTGTTGAGGGGTTAATGAAATACTGAGTTGGTGGTGGATTGTACTGAATCATCACCTTGTGGCCCTGCGTTTCTAGTACTACGAGATTTGATCAATTTCAATATTTAGAGAATAATTCTCTCGGATTGATATGTGTTCCACAATTTTCTTCCATCCTCAACACTTTATTCCGGTTCAGAGCGTCAGGCGACTAGCCATCCCACTCCTACTATGAAATTTCTATTTAGTCTAGAATCCTGAGAGGCCGTTCCCCACTCTTGCAGCGCCTATCAGAGGCAGGTTGGACCCCACCGTAGTATCTTCTGGGTTTATATACATTAAATCCTTTATCTTCGTGCCTAAGACGTCGATAACGGCTGGTGGAGTGTCTATGACGAGTCATTGCTGTGTTGAAGCCTTGATACACATACCCAGGCTGGTGACTTTGTGGCGTAAAGAGGTCATTGATTTGCTCTCTGATCAGTCTTTTGTCTACTTCATGC